TACTCACTTATACGATTTGAGTATTTTCTCTTTAGCTTATATGCTGTATCACATTTAACTCCTCTTTCACCTCATTAGTACTGCTTTTTAGTGTTTGCATATCTCAAAGTTACTACTTCTGTTGTGCTACAACCAGTGTTCCCTTTCTTATAACAAGTGTTTATGTTCAGTTGAAACATGTTTACCGTAGGCATCAGGTGCTTGTGGCTCATTATTCTACCAAGTAATTAGGTGATCCTCTATGTTACCAGAGTGGTCAAGTACTTTGAGTGCTGACACGTTCACTGTGGACTGCAAAAATGCATTTCTCCATGGACACAAAATAGACAGCTCCACTGTCAATTGCAAGATGTGTGTCTGTGTCAGCACTTGAAGTGTAGACTTGTAACTTGCATTGACAATTGTTTTGCCAGAGCTGTTAAAAAAAATAAAATACAACACACACACACAGAGCCTAATTATCTGTCCAGGATCCATATATCCTTCAGATAACAGCTATCATGCTGTGTTCTCATCGTCTTCATGTTGTTTGCCATATCTTTTCAAAGCTCTTCAGTGCCTGGAGGACTGACAGCTGAACAATACTTCTGATAATCTCAGCATCAGTGCTAGAGAATTAAACATTGCAGGGCAAGGAAAGGAGCACAAAAATTGTGAGCACTGTACAAGTATTTCTGATTTTCAGAGCCTAAACAAGTAGGATACAAGCTTATCAGTCAGTCCTGCATTCACTACCTATATGCCTGTACTCTTTGGTTGGCTCAAAATTAAAAATGTGATTTGGGGAAAGGGCATGTTCCTTAACATGCCTTCTGTGGGGAAAAGATGTGCATGCTTTTAGGGAAACTACCTGCCAAGATACCTTCTAATAGAGTATGCCAGTTTCCTTATCAATATCCATGAAGGTTTTTCTTTGCAGGTGCGATGCTGTAGCTAGCACTTGTGCTGCTACTCCATGAGACAGGTTGTATTTTGAGTGTGATACACATGAAATGCTACCACTTCCCATTTGCATCTGCTTGGAGTGCTCTATTAACCTATTAAATGCAGCTTACACCAGCTTGCTAATGGGAATAACAGCTTATCTTCTCAATGGGGTAATGGTAATGCTTTGTGCCAGAGACTCTCAGATGTGGTATTGTAAATATACATGCAAGAGAGGTTCTTAAGTGCCTCTGTAAGTACGCTGTCTTTTGCAAGACTATACAAAGGAGGAGAGGACTAAGGGGAAAGAGGTCGCCTGCAATTTGGCATTGCAGCTGAAGTGAAAATGTTGTTTTGTTTGATTTAGAAGATGTAGAGGGATTTAATGTAGCTATAACCCTTCACAGTTTCTGAAAAAGTTTTCCTTTCCTTTGTAAAAGGCTCAGGTACTGCTACCTCACTAGAGACTTCTGAGAGAGCTAACATTATTAGCAGAAGTGGCTCAAATGCCCTTGATGACAGGCAGCAGTTGATGACAGTACATGATTGGCAGTGGTGAGTGATGGAGCTGACTGATGCTGAGGCGCTGCTGGGGGTGGTTGGTCTTCCTTGCTGCACATTTCTGAGGAAAGTCTGCTAGTAATGGTTTCATTGGGGGAAACAAGTAGCTGTATGGTAAAATTGCAGTTCCTTTCACTGGCTAATTAATTTTACTATGTAAGCCTCCTTCTGGTGGATGGGTATAATATTTAAAAAGGAAAGCAGTCAGACAAATAGTAAAAGCAGTTGGATCTTAATATAGCACATTTTCAGACTCAAGTAGTAAATACCAACTTCTTAAACTAGGAAGAAAAAGAGCCTAGGTGTCAGGAACATATCAAGATATTTTATTACTCTGATGTCAACATAACACCTTTTCCTTATTCTTATCCCCTGCTCCCATTAAATTTTGTCTTTCGAATGTAGTTCCCAGAAGACAGCATGGAGATTTCCCCTATACTTACCCTATTGTGGCAATAAATAATAGAAAAATGGTCCCTGGGGATTACTTGAGCATCTCTGTGTCCAGCTTGGAGGGTTCTTAGGGCAAGAGTTTTAGTCCTTACAGAAAGATCTAGCTGAGAAGAGCTGGTGCAGAAGGCTGGTAGTGGGGAGGAATACAGGGTGTCTGCCACCCCTAGTCACTGATCATCCTTCTGGAAAAAATTAAAGGACTTGGTGAGGTCCTTTCGGGGAAAAAAGAGGGAGAAATGTAATAGGATAAGCACTTGTTCTGAAGCGAGTCTGGAAAATCACTGAATGTGGAGATACCATGCCAAGTGTGCCAAAAAGGGTGGATTTAGAATAGTAATTAACTCCTAGTTGAGTAAGAATTACAAGATCACAAAACAAATTACTGTTATTAACAGAAGTATTTGTTCTAACATCAAGCTGTCATCCTGTTGTGCTGTTTAACCTGATTCTGCCATGTGGAAAACAGGAAAAAAAAAATCTCAGATATTTTATTAAGTGTGAGTTTGTGATTTATTCCTGTATTATTTTTCAGTGTAATTGTTTCCTAAAATGGCAGTCACCTGCAAAAGCAAGGGAACTTAAAAAACTGAAGGACTTTCTGGCTTTGAACACACTGTGGAATGAATGCTGAGTTGGAAACTGTGGGATCTGTGGGAGAATATCGCTGGGTATAAATGTGTGAGACTGTACAGAATTGACTTACAACAGTCACTGCAGTTCTCTGGGTTAAAGCCCAGTAAATACCCATTGATTTACACCTTTCCTGCTTTTAAAACATGAGAGTTGTAAAATGGTGTGGCTTAGGGACCCCAAGCATGAAATGGCCCCTTTGATTGCGGCTTAAGTGTGATCTGCATGTACAGCATTTAGTAACAAACAACTAATTGTGGGGTTATGTGCTAAATACCAAAAGAGGCAACAATAAGAAGGTTAGACTAAGTGTCAATTATACACCAAATAGATACCTGTTAGTTGACAGCTTTCTTGCTGCCTTGAGCAGTGTCAAAGATTTCTGAAGCCTGACATCCTAATAAACTGTGAAAGGTATCGATCTGTAAAGTTGTGTGGTTTTAAAGGATGTATTGGTCTCCCAATAACACTTTTATATTGAATTGTAATAGATAGGGCATCTTTCAAACAGGTGGTTGTAGTTGGAGAAAAAAGTGAAAGACTGAAAAAATAAAGCTACGTAGCTCAGAAGAGGAACAGAGAGATCTACTTGTCTTACCTGGCCCCTTAGTTTTAGTAGGTCAGCTCTGTGCTCTAATATCATAGTCCACTCGTTGCCAAAAATAAGATTAAACAGCCTCAGCTATAAAGGCATCAGAAGCATGAAGTGGCTTTGGGGAATGGTACAATTCAAATATGAATAATACTATGGAAAAATTACCTTTCTTTAGCTTACAGGTCTACAGCCAGTGCATGTTTAAAAACACCTGTGGAAAGTTTTTTATTTAGAAAGAAGCCTAAAATACATTCCTCTCCTCAGTGCAGAAGAATTCTACCATGGGCTAAAGATCAGAATTTCAAATACCAGAATTTCCCAGAAGTCAGTGATACATGCTTTGTTAGTGAAACATACATAACTCCTAATCGCAGTCGACTTTTATGTTTAAAATCTTCTTGGATGTCAAAATGTGTTGTGTGTCAATGTATTTCAGAATTATTTTGCAGCCCCAGACTCTTCAGAGGTGATGTTAGCAGTAATTTTGGTTTTTAGTCTTTTGGGCTTTGTTGTTGTTGTTTGGATTCGTTTGGTTTGCTTTGTGGGATGTTTTTTTCTTTAAGTGAAGAACTATTGCTTTTGCCAGACTTAAGAGGGTGAGCACTGATAAGAAAGTGGTTAGCCACGTAGCAGTCATGCTTATGCATGAATCATAAGCAGAAATACTTTTCTTCCTCTATTAGGCAGTTCAGGCTTTTAGCCTGAAAGACAGACAGGTGGCCAAAATGCAAGCAATGGCTTTTTACTTCCTTACTGCTTGTGAGCTTGAGTAGCTGTTGAGAGTGTGGTGATGCCTACATCTGTCTGCTGCCTGACTTCGCAGTTTCTCTGGAACTGGGAACTGCCTGAAAAGCTGATTGCTTTTTAAATAAAGCTGCCTATCTCTGTGGAGCTGTGCATGTTCTTGGGGGAGAGAGTGAATTGCTGCCTTCCCTCCCATAAGTGAAGGCCAGAAGACTGTGTGTGTGCTTCTCTGCAGCAGTGCAAATACCTCCGTGTGCGTAGGACCACTGTGACTGGCTGTCCATAGCGCAAAAATGCTCAGACCTTGAAGATCAAATCCAGAGCCACTGTTGCAGGAAGAGCTGATGTGGAGTTGAACTGAACCCAGCAGAGAGGGTTGGTCTAGCTCTCTGCTGCCAGTTTAGGATAACACACATCTTTCAGAGGTCATATGCCTCATCTGCCAGTCCCGTATTAATGTCTTAGGTGTCCTAGAGCATCTCAGATATCACTAGCTAACCAAATCCTAGAGCATCTCAGATATCACTAGCTAACCAAATCCTAGAGCATCTCAGATATCACTAGCTAACCAAGTCTAGAGAAGTGACTTGCCTAGCAGGTCTTCCAGCCTTCGTGTAATGGATAAGAGGATATGGAGTGGTTTAAAGCAGTGCTCTGTCCAGTGCAGTTTGTAATAATGCGTTGAGCACTGTCTGAACCTGGCCTTTGACAACTTTGTGCAGAATTGGGGAAGGAGAGGGGCAGTTTCAGGCAAGAATTTTTTCCATGCAGTGTAAAGTCATCTCAGAAATTCATAAACCGATTTCAGGAAATAAGAAAGAATGAAACTTGAATGGTGATCACAACATTGAAATAAAAACAAACTTTGAAACATAAAAAGGCTGTTTGCTTTGCTTCTCTCAGAGTTTGTTTCTCTCACTGCCTGTGAGTTTATTTCTCTCACAGATGGTGGTAGCTACCTTAATGGTGGCTTCCTAGCAGAGGATCTCTTTGCCTTGCCTTGTAGAGGTGACAGTCATTTTGCCTTGCCCAACTGCATGTCCCAGTTCAAGTCAGTTTGTCACTTGGGGTTCTGTATAGGGTCAGCATAGTAATGGCGGCAGTGGTGACCCAGCAGCATAAAGTATTCTTAGCTGATCAGCCCAATAAATTCAATAATCATGAGTATGATTTTCTCTTACAGCATTTTATCTTCATTTATTGCATAAAATGGTTGCTGATCACTTATCATCTTCTATTTTCTATATATCATGCACTCCTTAATTGCTTCATTACTTTGCTGGCATATTTGGCACATGTTCATTCTCCAGTAATAAAGTAGTGTTGTGCATTTAGCTCACACATGAGATGTGTAGCTTTGAGAGATTCCCACTTGGCACTTTGGCATTATGTGATGCCCTTTTTGCAGGTGATATATCTTCCTAGAGAGATCTCTGTCAGCTGTAATTAATTAACTATTAATAGAGGTTAGCTCCTCTTTGTGGTGTGGGTAGAATTATACATCCCTACTAGGCCTAGCTTTGATTTAACCGCTGTTCTAAGTCTACTTTAGGGGATACTACATCTTCAGTTAACAGGGTAGGCTAACTTCAGAAGATTTTCTCATTGGCATCATTTTATAATCTTGCAAATTCTTCATACAGTCAAATAAACCAAAACCAGCATTGCTAGAGAATCCTCAGTGAGAGATCAAGAAAACTTAAAAGCAAAACTTGGCAGTGTTAGAAATCCTGGGCTTGCCTTAACTCAGCATTAGATTCCTGGCTGTTTCTGATCTGAACCGGTGTGTACACCTGGAAGCAACAGGCTTGTATGTCAGATGATAGCATGCTGGAGTCAGCAGCTTCCTGGAGTTTCTTCTGGTTTGTAACACAGTCACAGGTTTTTGTTCCTCAGTACTTTGGTATTTTTCTCACCTTCAAACACTTCCTACTTAACAAGATGATACAATAGCTGTAATTCTTGATATTACCATATTTAGTTAGTGCTTTTAAACTAAAAACCAAAGCAGTGTTCTGCAACCCAGTATTCCTCAAAAATAAAACCCAAAAAACCCCACAACATAACACCACCACCATCCCCCCCCAAAAAAAACACCCCACACGCAAAAAACCCAAAGACATAACAAAACAAACAAACGAGAAAAAAAAAACCAAGCCCCAAACTTTAGGACAGAATAAAGCAAATTTTGATAAATCATATAGATTGGAATGAACTAAGCACTGTCTCTCTTGGACAACAACAAAAAATTGCCCTTAACATGCATATAGAAGGAGAAATCCGGAAACCATTACTTTTGGCCAGTAATCCCCAATGCACTATTTGTCAAAAATCCAATCATCTATGTAAGTGTTATGTTTTACTTACAGATACGCTGAAATGTGTGTGAATGTATGTTTATGTGATGTAAAAGCAGTACCTTAACTTGCCTTTTCTGTCTTCTTTAGTGTTTTTTCCCAGTATTATAATAGATTGCATAAAAAAAGCAATGATGTAGTCAAATTGGTAATTCAGTTACAGTTCTTTTTCCCACTGTGGAAAGTAAGAGGATACTGTTAACGCTTACTTGAACCAAATGCTTACCTTCATTCTTCACTCCCCCTCCCCCTTTCTTTTTTAGTGGGCAGTTTGCTGTAGTGAAAAAATGCCGTGAGAAAAGCACTGGCCAGCAGTTTGCAGCAAAATTCATCAAGAAACGAAGAACGAAATCCAGCCGGCGCGGAGTGAGCCGGGAAGATATCGAGCGAGAAGTCTGCATACTAAAAGAGATTCGACATCCTAATGTGATCACCCTGCATGATGTTTATGAGAACAAAACAGATGTCATTCTTATTCTGGAACTGTAAGTAGCTTTAGAGACCTGGGGACTAGTAACAGAATATTGTTTGTTTGTTTGTTTGTTTTTTACAAACTAGATGCTTTTTCTGAGAATCATAATGATTTAATTACCACCCCAAAAGATGATCAATAATAGCCTGAGAATTCTTTATTTTTAAGTCAGAGTTGTAGCTTCTTGATTTCTACACATATTTTTCACTACACAATCTACAACAAAGGTTTGAAAAAAAAACCAAACCCAGCATATTTAGAATTTTTTTCTGCTTGTTACTTCAATCATTGTTGATGTTATGGATCCAGAGGAATGGCCTGGGGCTAATTAAACTGATACAAAGATAAGAGCAGAGGGAAATACAGATTCTAAGTGGACATTAGTTTAGCAAATTTTGTTACGCTTTATGTTTGTGTAAAGTAGCATCACAGCTTTTTCTCCCTTTTTTTTTAACCCACTTAACAGAGAAAAGAATTTTCCCAGTTCTGTCCTGCAGAAATGTAAACTGAACTTTCATCTTGTTTCATATTGCTTTAGTTCCCATTTTCCATCCAAGGTTATTGTTAGTGGATTGAAGTAAATAAGTTGTCAGGAGACCACTTCTGCATTGTTTCAAGTCTGGCTTCCAGTTCCTCAAAGATTGCAAGTTTAGAAGTTAAGCATCACTCACTCATTACAGTTTGGCAGTATCTCCTGGTGAGACATGCATATCTTTACATCAGGTGCATACCTGATACTGTGTAATTGGTATTTCTGCTGTGTGATTTGATACCAGATTCTTGGACAGCACTTGTGTCTTTTCCTTGGCTGTTCATGTAACTTTTCTTATGAAGGGTATGTCTTCCTGTTTACTAGCTTTGGTGAATGTTATTTTCACTTACTTTACAAGGATACTTCAGTTTTGTGTGCTTTCAATAACATATCTGTAGATTTACAGCATAGATTTTAAAAGAAAACTGGAAAGTAGCTGTTGGAATTTCATCTTTTCTGTGGTATGTACATGCATGATACTACTTTACAACATTAGCACATACTTGTACACTTCTAGTCCAGCGTGTGATGGTTTACTGTAATACTTGTTGTACTCTGGGTTGTTTTTTCAGTTCCAGAAGTATACATTTGCATTAGTTTGTCAACTTGGGGTAATTTAAGCAAGTGTGGCGGTTTTTTTTAAACAAAGCTTAACTCTCATCCTGTATGCAGTAAAATTACCTTATATTACTGTCAGAATATCTACTACTCCTGGTTTTTGTTCAGAGCTCTTTAAATGTGTCATGAATAAACAGTAAAATTAGTGTGATCCTTTCTGCTCTCCCCACTTGATACTAGCTATCACATTCCTTCTGTCTGTTACCTTATATCGCTGCTTCTGCAGTGCTTCTTTCTGCTCTGTAGTCTGTCCAGCTGGTATCTGGCCAGTGTCTGGACTTGAAAGCTCTGAGGGAGACACGGTAATCATGGACAGTGGTAGGAAGAATGGTGCTGTTCTGCACCCCCAACCCCTTTCTACATGGATAGGAACTCTTTTGGCAGCAAGGTTGCTGTGTCTGTCTGAGTGTATCTGCTGAGGTTCACTGAATGGAAGCAGATATTGCTTCTGTAAATGTGTGTTAATATTTCTTAACATTGATGGTGTGAAGCTCAGCAAACTACTGGCATTAGAATTTAACCAGTTGTTTTGCCTAGTTAACAATCCTCATATAATTTCATCTGGAAACTTTTTTTTCCCACTTCCCAACTGCTATGTGAGACTTTCAAGTTTAAGTGCTGTTTGGGATATCACGAAGGTAATGCATTAATTTAGTTACAGGGTTGATGAGGAAAAGATGACACATTTGTGATCCCTTTGAAAACTGAATTTGCTAATTGCTATAAAGTTTTGTCATTCTGAAAATCACTGAGACATTATGTAAAGCTACTCAAAAGGCAAAAAATTGTCATTTCAGTTGCATGCTTAGAAACTTAAATATGTAATCCCTTTCTTCTAATGTTCAAATATTCTGATTTTGCCTAGAGACTTACTCCCCTGGCATTCTTTGCTCTTGGAGAACAATTTCAAACAAATACAAAGCTGAAAGCTCATTAAATAACCTGTTTTGCTCTCCTCAGAATCCATCCTAAGTGGCCGCCTTCCCTTCTGCTCAGAACATAGCATTTTTCCTGGGACTCATGTTCCTTTATGACTTGAGCCAGTATACCACATACAGACAGAATTTTGTGTAACTTAATTTTTCTAGAATTTAGAGAGAAACTAAAAACTCAACATTCCAGCTATGTATGGGAAATTCATGGCAAAACAAAAGCCCACAGGAAACACTGGTTTAATGTCAGTAAGCAAGGGTAGCAACACGAGCAGTGGTGAGGAAAAGTATCTCTGGTTTCTGTTCTTGGTAGAAGCTGCAGCCCATAGACATCAAGCCACTCGGCCACCCTTTTGGTGGCTGCCAGATGTTGACATCCACAGTCTCAGGGCAGCAATGACTGTTGCCTGTTCACTATTGATTTTTATCTCTTGGTTCAGCAAGAGGTTTACAGTATTGCGTGCAGCCTCCTAAACATTTTCATGCATTATTAGTCAGCTGTTTCTCAGATGTGACTGACTGTACAAATTTTCACTTCATTCCCTTGTGGTAAATATTACATCAGCCAGCAAAGTATTCAATGTGGTGATTTGTATGCAGAAATATGTAGGCAGTTAGTTAATTATTAAGGTTGCAAGGTCCTCACAACACTGAGTGCAGAACAGAGCTGCATATGAAAATCTTTATCCACATAGATGTCTGGAGTTTTCTCTCTCAACTACCGTAACTCATAAAACTGACCTAGACAAAAAAAACTCCAAATCAAAACAAAAAAAACCCTGAAATATTTTATTTCTGAAACAGTCAAATACGTCCTTAAAAGATTAGCAGTTAGACACAAGCATGAGATATCCTTGAACAGCCTTCTTTATCTATAGTCGTTTGGTATATTTAGAAAAATCAGGCATATTTTCATATTTCTAGGTTTTACTTAAGGGCAAGTGTCTCCTTGATTTGGAAATAACCTTTGAAAATCCCATTCGATGAATTCTTTCATCATCTCGCAGGGATGTTATCTGTGCATATTACATGCTAACTGAAGACATTGTCTCTTCCTCATCTAGCTTAAAACTAATAGTTTTTTGTGTTTTTTTTCTCCTGTCACACAATTAATTAATTAGTCAGAATTCTATAGTACTTTTTTCTATCCAGCTGCAGGAAGTACTCTCTGTTATTTGTTAGCTATTTCAGTGAGTTCTGCTGAAGCTATCGTTTTATCAGACTTCACAGAGTAGAAAACACAGATGCTTCTGTTGCACAGTAATGATTATTTTCTTTCCTCAAGCATGTTTTGCACCTACTTGGTTCCCCTTTTGCTGACCTTAGATGCATGATCTTACTCGTCTGTTGTTTTTTTCCTTCCACTTTATTATGTTTTCATTTAGACTGTGGACCTACAAAATATACTGTGTGTGGTGCTTTGCAGAGCCTTGGTTATGGTTTCTCAGTTCAACTGCAATGAAAAAGTACCCTTATCTTAAACTATATAGTAGTTCCTTAGAATGCTCAGAAGTAATGCAGGTGGTCTCACCCTTTAAAATAGCTTGATAGCAATAGCTGACTCTTTTCTGTCGGAAGCTGTGGATGTACTTTTTCTCTGCAAGAAGCATACCTTCATTTCTGAATTGGAAATCTTAAGTGAAGACAGCTCTTGTAGCATAGTTCTGAATGATGAGTAACTTGTTGAACTGCCAAAAAGAAGAAAGCTTTGAAAGTCTCAGCTCAGAAAGAGGAATGACATTGACTTACAAGTCATCGTGTGTTAAATTCTAGGGTTTATGCTTTTTTAAAAAGTTAGTTCCTGTATACTTTCTTTAAAATTTAGTCCTGTGCATCACAATGTCTGAGATTTTCCAACTTATTGGTACTGTCATAATATTAACCAAACAGAACAGAGCAAGAAGAGGAGGAGGATAGATTCATGTATAAATATTCTAATGATCTTACAAGCTGCTCATTAAAGAGTAAATAAGAGCAAATAATTACAAACTCTTTAAATTTCTATCTTACTGGGAGCTTGTTCAACTTTTTACATTTATAATAGCGTAACATCCAGAGAAGCTTGGCGTCTGCACAGGGTTTCGTTAATTTTCAGTTGTCTTTTGATATCAATAGCTCTGAGGTTTTTGTTAATTCTACCTGTGAGTCATAAGAAAGTTGTTCCCCAGTGGCCTTGTACTGAATTTTGAGAGGAGGACAGAATCTTTGGTGTTTACTGGGAGGTAGCAGCATGTAAGCAATCTCTGCAATGCTAATCTGTGAATGTCCCAACATTTTACTCCAAAATCCCAAACTGTGGGCCCACAGATAGATGCACAGAGGACGTGCAGACAGGCGAGAACGAAGGCTTGGCAGGGCTGAAAACAAAGGAGCTAGAGCCAGTGTGACTCTGCAGTGCCCTGATCACATCATGGAGGGAGAGCACTTGGCTTCTGAGCAATGCAGTCCCTGAGCAAAATGCATGGCATTCTTTTATGCTAAGCCCAAATGCTCCTCGTATGTTAAATTTTAATGTCTTAGGCATGATCAAAATGCTAAGGCTCTCCACTGGGCCTAAGTGTCTGTAACCATGTGCATTTTCCAGACTCTGGGCGCTTAGGGAACATTGGTGATGAAAACCTAAATACCAGCTATGTTTGGGGTCAGGAAATATTCGCAGGAGTGTTCAGGCCTCCCTCTTAGTGGGACTTAACTGCTTAAATCTTAGGCTAGAGTTTAGTTCCTGTGTTCTGGCTGGCTGTTCTGAGTCTAATGCTTTTCTTGATTAATATAACTGAAGAATTCAGTCACACTAAAGAGGTTATTTCATTGCAGGTGGTGTGTCTAATGGAAGCTGGACAAAGGAAAATGATGAGGCATAGCAATGCTGTAACATGTCTTGATATTTCTGGTAGCTAGATAAAGAAAAAAAACCAAGTGCAGTGTTGTTCA